TAGCTCCCATATCAATTCAAGTAAATAGAGCGACGTTAGAGGGTGGTTTGGGTCATACCGTCCTGTAATGAAATGAAGAGCGACTCGTCTCCAATGGAATGAAAAACAAACAAACGCTAGACTAATTAAATATTTGAAATGTTCAAACGATAGCAAGGCATTGTATTTTATATATTTTATAGCTTTCATGCCAAAGACATGAAATACATAGACGTCAGTAATCGGTTAATGGCATGACATGGGCGCGTTTCACTCCGCCGCTAACAGTGTGAGTGCGTATGGTGCCAGGAAAGATTGTGTAAATGAACAGTGTATCGACCAAGGTTGTCGCTTTTACAAAAACGGTCTTCGAACGAGCAAACTCTTTCGTAACGGTTCGTAAATTCGCTAAACCTCACGGTATTTTCCGTTAGAGCGTGTATCCAGCACTTGTCAGGTGATCACACGTCACGTGACCGCTCTCTAATGGAACGCTCTCTAATGGAACGGACGCGCTCTAATGGAATGGCTCGAGCTAGGTCTCTCTCAATAAAGCAGACGTTTCTGAGAAATGGGCGTGAATAGTGAGCAAAGATGGCGGGCAGTAAACGTGTGTAATACTTTTACCGCCCAATATAACCCGATATATGTATCGTCAAATATTACGTAACATCTATGTCTCAATAAGGGGAATTGACATAAGTCACGACAGTACGTGCATTTTGTTATAAAATGTATAACAAGCATTCTCTCGCAGTGACGTGATTGCAAATATTAAAACGGATACACATTTCAGTCAACCATACATCACAAGAGGATGTACACATTACGAAGTGATATTGTCTCACCTTGTTCAATCATGTCGTACGGATCCGTGAATCCAATCCTTTCCCAGTGAACAATTAATTCTGTGTGAGGTAATAATGAAGTATCCCTTTGAACTTTTTTGATTGCTTCTTTTAAAAGTTTTCTCTCATCTCCTTGAGTTTCTTCGAATAACACACCTGAAATTAAAAACATCGACGTAAAATTAAATGTAATTTAAAATGTAATTATTAGAATGTGGGTAATGCGTGGGGTTAATTTTCTCCGAAAACACATCTGCACTTTACATTTTACTTTTCGAGATTTGAAAAGCCTCCAAACCTGTATGATACACATACTTCATAATATATTCGCAATATTGACAACTGAATTATGGGGTTGCTTGACTGACGCCTCAAGGTCCAGGACACGTAGAATATGTCCTGCGGTTTATTTCCAGAGGGCACAAATATACACAAGTATAAACAGAGAGAAATATCAGTACAACTGTTTTTAATAGAATATTCTACTGACGTGACCACTTAGTTTCATTATTTTTTTTAACTCGTTGAAAAGTTTTCCCTAAATCAATCTAATCGAAATACCAATCAGTTCAGAGTTTGAAATCTATAACACATCTTAATTTAAGCATGTAGTTATCTGAACGGAAAAAAAGTAAATAATTACGTGTTAGTGTCTGCACTGAAACAATAAGAATACTTGCACAACCATTCATTATTTCAGCAACAAACATATCTTTAATTACTTTCTGTCAGTATTGTCAATATGGAATCACTGCTAGGCATAAAAGTCATCTGTCGTTATGGTGTTACTCTTCTTAAATGATTTGAGAAATATACAATATTTTGCACAATGAATGAATTGAATAATTGCGATGTAATATGAGACTATATACAATATCCCTTTGTGTTCATTGGTATGCGTAATTGTGCGCTTTTCACAAATATAGAATACGATATCAATCCTTATGTGTTAATATCACTTCTGTATTCAGGATGCGACATGTCAGTTGCATTTACTTGAGATGCTAGGGATTATGATCTATGCCCCTCGCTGAGGTGACATATATATAGGGCACACGGCATAGTGGTAAGTTCATAACATGTTTAGGAAAGACATCACGCTACGTATAAACGCCAACACTGTCCAACTTGTATTACAATTCTAATGCACTGGAATGAATATTCAACGTACACGTAATTTGAATGTCGTCTAAGTCACGCTGACTGTCGATAATTTCAGGGAAATTGAATTTTCAAGATTCCATCACACAGTAATTGACTTTAACTGGATACTACTTTGCACATGACGTCATCCGTTGGGTTGTCAAGAAACCGTGTGGGACATCAATCGTAGTTCCGGTGAACCCAGCGGTATTACTTTATATGGAAGTACTGCGGGGCATGCGCATTTCTCTTCCATCAACTTAGAACCGCTGCACAATGCGTTAAACAAATGAATTGGAGTATTGAGTAGTTTGTATTAGCCAGCACAGTATTTAGACTAGGCACAACCAAAAGGGAAACAATCTCAGTACTCAGTAATGCATCGTTTTTAACCAGTTGTGAATATAATTTTTGTAAAACCGATAGCATGAAAAGCTCATTTTTATTAATTGATTCTTTGCCCGCCCTCAAAACGTAGATAAGGGAGATTAAAGAAATAATTTACACCTGAATCACAGTCATCGGGTATTCTCTTGTATAATTTATTTTGTGTCATAATACTTGTAGATCTAATATTCAATAGTAGCAAAGATAATATGGTAGAAAGATAGTTTATTCGTGAAATTCTACGTTCACATTTACACAGACATGGTATTAACATTCGGATTAAGATTAAGCTTAAGCTTAAGATGTAATTTCTGTGATTGAATGAAGTGCAGTAATTTGTGTGTATTCAATTGTTGCCATTATGTGGACCAGAAATTGTGATACTTTTTTTTCTAAAACCAGATTTGCCAGATTTGCCAGATTTGATACTAGGCAGTTGACTATTATTTTAACATACAGTCTAGTCATAGTCACACTACACTGACCAAGATAAATGGGAGATGATGAAATATTGGTTAGCTCGTGTTGTTTTTTTGGTTCCCTTCAGGCATGTATATTCGCTACCCCTACGACTTCTGACACACCACCAACCCACACTCAATGGATATTATTGTGTTTCTTGCAGTTAATGTTCATTCTGGAGCTTTGCCCTCCTGCCCGGCTTAGTCAGTGAGAATTCGATTACAGTCCGCAAATCAGGTTACCGCAAAAAAAAATTCAAATTGGATGGGTTATAGATCAGTAATTGTGCTGGCTACAGCTCGTAAATTGTTTTTATAGAATACCAAATTGCATTTGTTTTCAGTATCTGACGCTTAACAATGTATTTAAAGTCAATGCTCACTTTAACTGAATTGTGTATACCTCCTGATGACTCATTATAAAATACCCGGATGTTACATAACTTCAGGTTGACATTTCAAGCAAGAAATCTTGTAAGCATTGGTCATGTTTTACTTATACAACACATACTTTTAAGTCTAGATGAACAACTAGTAGATTGTATCGTTTAATCAGATATACGCGTGTTCGTTATTATACTGCTGTACCTTGAAGGCCGCGGCGTAAATATGATTTGAAGTATATCGATGGTCACTGGAGCATTACATTAATATATTTACTGATTTTGATCGTCACTAACTATGTTCACAAATGCATACAAAATGGAGATTTGTAATCAGATCTATATGTGTTCCCTCCAAATGCTGTAGAAATACGTGTTTTGCTTTATTAGTGCTATATTCTGATAACGATGCAGTTATTTGCGAACCACATATATAATCCTTATAATGTTTGGGAACATCACGGTCATGAATGTAACAGATGTTTTAGAAAAAAAAACATGTCGTGGAATTTTCTCAATCATATAACGTATTTCATATTTCACGATCATCATAATTGTTATACAAGTGTTAATGGGTTATTATGGAGTTATGATGACACAAATTAGAATACATACGATATGTATTCAATTCGACAGCCTATGGGTGAGTGGACCGGACATTATATTACATCTATTGATGGAGATAAAGTTAAATTCATCTAACACTTACCTATGCTGATGTTGCGAGGTAGTCCTTCTCTTGCTTGAATCGGAAAACACAACAAGCCTATCAACATACTCGAAAACAACAACAGAATATACGACACGTGTCGATCCATGGCTTGTTCTCAAAATATCCACAAATAAAAGAGGAGAAAACGGACGGTAGCGGACTATCGGGTCAATATGTACAGAGAAAGTTCAACTGTCATGAAATAAATAAATCATCAATTTTGAAATCAGCTCAGCGGACGATTCCATTATATGGAAGGTGTGTTAGATGGAATAGTTGTCAAGTAACGCATTCTTCCAAACTGGTTTGTCGCATTAACATGCGAGTAACAATTATTTAATCTGCCGGAAGGCATCTCTTCACGAGGAGCTGCTCCGTGCAAATAGGACTCAGGTCGGGATCCCACCGGAGATTCACGAGGTGTAACGTGTACGATGACAGTACTCCAAATCAGACTGTATTTGAACAAAGGCATCAGAGTGTACTAAATCGGCAAATGCGTTTACTTCGTATATCATTTCAACATTTGAAGAATGTCAATTTGTCGAACGGATGGTAATATATTGAAAAGTATTCCTTGGAAGCTCAATGTCCAGAAATTTGATACGACATACATTTGGTACACATTTAGCGAAGAGGCAATATCCAAACGTATAATTAAAGAAAACGACTGAAATGCAACTAATACCGGTGTGGATTTAGCTCGTGTCGTGTTTGCTGAGTGGCTTGAAGTGGAGAATACAAAACAGTCATGTGGTAGTCTAGCAGAAATCCAACAACAAATAGAATTACATCGTGAAGGACCATGAATTATGAATCAATGAGAGTCGAATATTATATTATGTGTTAGTTGTCCGTAGGGGTGGCGCTGTCATTGTTGCATGAACATTTTAAGCTGCCACTTGTTTATGTTATTAATACCTATTAATCTGTCATTTGTCTTCTATTTAATCCAGTAAGTAAATTTGTTGTGCGATTAGGCTTCACTGCAAGTCCCGAATTAAATACCTAATTGATAAGATTTCCCCTATCGCTATTTTACTTTATTCCACTATGTTCGTCGAGTCACGGAGGTAGCTAAACGTGTACAACAATCTACTTAATCTAGCGTTATTCGTGCGTTTCCAGTGGATACCACTAATGGATTGTGCTGGAATGTCTTGATATGAAATTGCAGGACAGTCCGTCAGATAATTTTAAATTAGATGTAAGTGTGTTATTTCTATGAGCACAGCACGATCTTATACGCGTAGCTATCCAGTTGTAACTGTGACTTAATAACTAACTCTACACATCGTATATCGAATTTCACCGAGCTGGAAAATAGGTATTTTTTTGATATCGTCTGATTAGTCTGTACACAGGGGTGGATGTAAAAAAACACTGCGACCAAGATTGAAGCAAAATTAAATATACAATGAATAAAACAAAATAAGCTTTGGCTGCGAGGTACTTTTACTGCATTTAGAAACACTGCGTGTACTGGAATGTCTGTTGCGGGCCCGGGTGATTATACAATACGGTTTGTGTAATAAGTTTGAGTAATGTGTATTTACAATGTGCACCAGACGCACGCTCTGATTAGAAATGTTAACGCTTCCGGCGTCTCACCGCAGGGTTGTGACGAATATAACAACAAATATACCCGAGCTGTAATACCACTGTGACTACGGCAAACCAAACAACACATTATCGGTGCCAATATCTCAATGTTAAGTCACATTAATCATACAAGACGTCAGAAGTAAAAACTAAAATAACAACAGTGATTCATATCACCCGGCAAGTGCGTTGTAAAGTAATAACACGTTCATTACACTACGTCGCGTGACGAGGGCGACTATATTACGAAGGTAGTGAAATATTGTGCGTGTGAAATTTATCTTAATAAGCCTTCCGTGCATGTGTCACTTATACATCGAATATGTACTTCCTAAACTCTGCGGGAGTCTAATGAATTTATAACATTGGAAACAATAAAATGTATCATTTAGTTAAAGGGTACTTTCGTATGACACTGTGGTCTAATGATTGTTTATAAAATGCCCTGTTGTGAAAATACAAAATTTATTATCAGCAGATGTTCAGCAATTGCTGCCACCTTGCGTCCTACAGTGTCAATCCTCATTAACTAGAATGCCGTAGAGGGCATAACTTCAACTGAATATCCCTGCAACTTATTCATATTTGCATTTATTGCTTTTCGTTGAATATCGTAAATACTTTTAATTGATTAATTGACACACTCCACAGTGGTCGCATATCTCCGATAATTTAGAAGCTATTTAACTCAAACTGTAAGATGAATATTTGGGTGAAAAAATCAACAAGTTACATTGCGTGCAAGCAAACAGCAATTATTTCTATTTTATAATTTATATTCATGAACGATGTCCATTTTCCATCATTCGGACTAGGGATGAAATGCAATTTACAGCCATAGTTACATTGATTTAAAGCGGGGAAGTCGTCATCTGCGTATGCGTCAAATAACCATAGCGTGTCATTGTGTACAAACAATGGTCTACCCATGAGCCTTTGCGTTTTTAGCGTGTGCTGTTATCGTCGCTTGGGACTCAATTTCCGCGCGTGCGCAGGTGACGACCCTCTCGCTTTAAACATATCATTGTATTGTTTACAATAGAATATATACCATTCGTATAAGTCACATTCGGGTGCGTTATCATCTAAGTGAGTCAACCACATGCATTTTATTTATCATTCATGTTTAAATTTTTCTGTTTTGAGACACTGACTTTTAAAAATAGAAATAACAAATAAGACATATATCTATTCAAGTTGATTTATAATCACGTTCAACAGCTATGTCAATTTTCTAATGTATACATGGTGTATATGTATGCCATATGTATCGTAGTTTAAGAAAATGAAGCAATTTCTGAGATAACAGAATGTGACGGTGCCCTCTCGACATCTCAGGTGCATATGGGTTGGACTCCAGAGGGCGTAACACGATTCACGTCTCGATATCTTGATATCGCTGAGAACATATGTCAACACATTACAGAGGGCGTAAGACGATTCCACGTGTTGTATATCCAACATAAACCAGTATGTGCACCGCGTAACACAACATAACGGTTATACAATGTGCAGATCGTTTACTTAACATTAAAACAATACAAATGACAATAGTAAAAACAAACCGCCAAATTAGATTATATTTAAATACACTACGTTTGAGCAACATTTTAAGTTTTCCGCTAATGAGTGTCATTTCATGCCTAAATAATCAGACCTTTATGTTTTGTGTGAAATAATAAACAGATTACTTAACTGATCTATTATATATATTTAGTCAAAATGAGTATCAGTCGATTTATCAAAAGCAATACCAATGTACTGCAATATATACGTGTGTTATAAAAACATACTATATCAATAGTACAATCTGATAACAGCCCATGCTCAGAGGTATGGTTTATAGCGTAGAGTTTAACACCACACGTATAAATGACCTACCGGACGTCACTGGACAAGTATCCGAGTGATGATTATACAGCTGTTGTGACCCATTTCGGATGCGAGACATTACCACACTCACACTAGTTATTCACACTATTTATTTTTTCATGGTCAGTTTATTTATGTGATATTTCACTAATATATATGTGAAGAGTCTTCTTTTTCATTCTGTCGCACGACGTTACCGCTGTTGGGAGTATGATGCGCATTGTTCCCATCTTCACTAGTAACCAGGTATGCGCGTTGCTGCGTGGTGACGGCTGCGTTTAGCACTGGACTATTTCAGAGGTGGGCGGTACTACCGGAAACGGGAACTATATCGAGCATATTTTATTTATCTCCAATAAACGGTATGCACACCTGTCCCTATTTTTATATGTATATAAGTGTATATGTGTTACACAAATTTTGTGATTTCAAGCTGGTTAAAAATCCGCACATGTGGTGGTAAAAATATTGAATATATTATTGGGTGTATTGGTTTATTTTTTACCTGACTCCGTGACAATTTGTCAGCTGCCACGATGTATGCTGTTTTGAAAACCAGTTATACAGGTATGTAAAGCTAAACCTACCAGACTCTTTTCATATTATAACATATTCAACGTCTGACACAGTTATTTGATATACAGCGTTCCATATATGATGACAACGTTTTGATGTATAATACAGAATATAGTGTTCTCAGACGAACTAAAGCGATCCATGGCCATATTGTAGAATTCCCTCTTTCTAATTACAGACTGACAACACTACACATCAAATACCGTACGGCATACCAGTACGTACGAACTTAGATAACACAACGAAAATCTTGACAAAACATTATGGTATGATATATACAATCTATTGAAAAAAGATCTGTTAGAGTTACACCACTACGACAACTGAAGAGTGTATATTGGAGCCCAATTAATACGGGATAAAGCTAACTTTACAGCCCAATGAAATTTACGAACAAGAATACGAAGAGTTGCCGACAGTGTATGTCACTGCTGTCATAATCTGACAGATTTTTTGGAAATTTAATGCCCAATGTTTTGACCTTTCGTAGCTCTTTCACCGTTTGACGTCAAACTTGATAAATTGTTTTACAGTACTTTGTAGACTAATTTCGTGGTAATCTACAGCGCGGTGGTCGTCGAGCAGCGCGTGTTCGAATTTCATGTAAATAAACAATGTATTGTACACGCGTTGTATACGTCGCTATGAGTCCCATATCGAACAGGACGCGGCACGACGACTGCCGCCCTTCAAATGAATGCGTACATCCGCTGTCCTATCTCTATGATTTGGAATAATAATTAGGGTTGTCCATACCATACTGAAATAAATTTGGTAGAATAATTTTGTTAATGGATAGAATAACTATATTTCATAACGTCGCGAGGAATTCCATCACTACCTTTCTCTTATTCAGCGTAAATATCTAGCAACTGGATTTGATTTATAATTAGAATGATTGAAAAATATCCATTCGAGTTTGCCTTTTCAAAATGTCAATTGATCATAAAAAAACAACATTGAAATTACATTCATTAGTGTCAATGTATAACGACGGAGAATATTTCCGCCACG